AAAGTTTCTTGAAAAAGTTTGTTACCAAATAAGGAAATTTTTAAGTAAAAAATTGATTGTCGGGAAGAGTTTTTTAAATCTAACTTATAGTTTAATATTAATTATGTAATAATTACTCTATTAATAAAGATAATGAGTATGTCTTACTTTAACATTAAAAAAAGAAAATATAAAAATTTAGAATTTTATAATTATGATAATTGTTTTTTTTTCACAGTTGGAGGAAATTGCAATCTTTTTATAATGTTTTGATTAATTGTAGATCACCTTTAATTTAATTATTTATATGTGGTTCATCTATTTACACAAAAGATTTGACTAAAGAATTATTTGTTATACTTAAAATAACTATCAAAGAAAATTTTTATTCATAAGAAAAAAAACAAAATTATTCAAAATATTATTCTTTTAATAACAAAAGTTGTTTCTCTAGTTTTTATACAAATAGTTGCTTAGAATATAAAGAAGCTTTGCAACTTGGTTTTTAAATTACAGTACTTTAAATTTGCTGTACCATTCAAAACTATATAGATGTTTTGAGATTCTTGGAGAAAAGAAAAAAATATTATATAAAAAATATAACTAAAATTAATAAATATTAATAAATGTTGATAATATATGCTAGTATCTATTAAAAGTTAATAAAATTTTTGAAAATTTTAGTAACAATATACTATAAATAAATTTATAATTATAATTATATAATAAAATATAAGTATAAATATGAATATAAATATACATGTAAATATAAAATATGAATATGAATACACATATATATAGGAATAGCAGTTCTTTAAATAAAAAATTTTTTTATTTAATATTGTTAAAATTAAAAAAAATTATTTAATTATAGAAATTTTATTCTTATATAACTTATATAAATTTTCTTATTATAAATCTATATATGTATCACAACTTAATCTTAAAAAAAATAATACTATGAAAAAATTATAAATTCGTGAAATTTTATGATATTTTTTAAAAAAAATTTTAAAATTAAAAATAATATTTAATCCAAGATTTTTTTTTCTTATATAATATACAAAAAAAAAATTAATGTCAGCTTAATTATTTATCATATTATATATATTAGATTATACAGAAAAAATATCTGGTGAATTTTGTTAATACTGTTACTAGACATATAAGACTTAATAAAAGTAGTGATAATGTTCAAATTTTTAAAATAATGGTTTTTTTATTTATTAAATAAAAATATAACATTTTATATATCAAAATTAGAAATTAATTAATTATTATTAATTGCTAATTCTAAGTTTTGCAAAAGTTCTAACAATTATTCTTGAAATAAATTCAGAAAATCTTTCTATACATCCTATTTATATAGTTGTCATGATACTAGTTATGAATAGTCCTACTATAACAAGTATTGAAACATAATTTTTATAATTATCTTTTAAAGAACAGATCTGTCGATATTCCAATTATATTCTATTATTCTCTATCTAACTATTTTGCAATTCAAACTTTAACTGTTAAATAGAAACTATCTGTTTTTTTTTTTTGGTTTTCTTTCATTAATAGAAGAAGATTTTTGTTTAGAATTTTAGAATTTTAATTTCAACCAATCTCAATAAACAGCTTAAATTAAATCAATACAAAAAATATCATGAACAAATTCTTCAGAAAAAAGTTTTATTTTGCACTTTTCTAGAACTTTAAAAATGTCTATACTTCAATCAATCCATATGCAATCATCAAAATACAAATCTAATAATAAAAAATTTCAACCTAATAAAGTAAAAAATTAGTAGATATAGTAACTAAAGCAATCACTTTATCAGCAAAACAATATTACCTATTGAAAACTACAAAGATTTTGAAATTATTCAATAAAAATAAATATATTTTCTTTTTATGGATTAATAATTATTAAAAAAAAATTTTTTTTTTATTAATATTATATGAATCAATTTAAATTTAATTATTTTACCTAAATTTTTATTATTTTTGTAATATTTTTCTTTTTTAAAAAACAAAAAAAAATTAATGAACCAATTCAATTTAATTATAAATTTTTTTGTCTTATATTATAATAATAATTAATTTTTTCATTTAAATAAAGATAATCAAAAATCTATGGGGTTTTTTTTCTTCTTATTAGCAAAAAAAAATAAAAAAATAAATAGTATCAAAATTGTCTTTTAGAATACTTAATTAAATAATTTGATTTACTTAATAACTTTTTTTTATTTCTTTCACATATATATATTTTTTTATTGTAAGTTAAAAATAAATTCATAAAAAAAAAATCATTTATTTATAATATTGTCTTATTATACATTTCAATATTATATTTTTAACATAGGACTTTTCTTTGAATTAGTATTAAATTATCAAAATGATCCAGAAGTTATATTAGTACATCTTCAATATCAAATAGAATTATATCAATTTATAAATTCAATTATCTCATTTTTTTTTCCTTAATTACTCTAAACAACTTACCTATTGAATTCTGGATATCTGACAGAAAATTTCTAAGCTATTAAAAATTTTAATTCAACAATTCTAAATCAATTTATTTGTGTGCCATATGCATTTTGTGGTTGTCTAATGTATCTAGAAAAATGTAAGTGGTTGCTTTATAATAAAAGACTAAAATATTTATTTTTGAAGGTATATCTCAAATTCAAACTCAGATTACTATTGACATTTTATACTAAATCTTCTGAGTATATTACAGTATTTTCATCATGCAAGTGTTTTAGAAAAAGATATCTCTTTCTATTCTTACATCCTATTTTATTTGAAATTCAGAATGTATCTCTAAAGAAATAAATATACCTGTCTCCTGTTTTTATATATTGTTCTTTGAAAAGAAGTTCCAATAATAATACAATATATTCTAAATATATAATATGTACAGGGACAATAAACTTTTCAAAAAATATGCAATTACTAGTATTATATTTTGGGATGCTTGAAGCTTATTTTGAAAATAATAATTCTATTATAGACTCTTTAAACTCTTAAATTGACAATATGTTAGTTGTGATAGCAAATTGACTAAAGCAGTATAATTCTTTCTTACAAAGCTACTCCTGTCTTTTGGATCTATTAGGATCAACTAAGGCAAACCATTTCCTAGTGCTTACTATTTATTTGATGACAACTCTACACCTTCATATTTGCCTAATAACATCATAATGTCAAATATGAATTTTAATATGGAAGTACATAATAAGGACTATTATTATTAATATCTTATGGCAGGATTTATCAGATTATTAAACAATATCCTCCTGCTCTTAGCTATAGATAACTCAAACCTAGAGGTTTTGCTTTTTTCTAATCTTTTCTAGACAGAAAGGGTCACTATTATGATTAAAACTTTTGATCAAATAAAAAAGATATGTATATGATCTGTGAAAAAATATATTTCAAATATATTAAGTAATAGGTACTTAATATTGATCCATGATTTAGACTTCCTTACAAATGGTTTGTATGGTCATACCTGTGGCTAGAAAAAATTTATAACTATTAAAATAATCAATGGATTTGAAGACAAAATCAAGCAGACAAAGTATATCATTCTCTAATTACAACTTAACTTATTCAAAAATCAATATACTCTAATAGATTAATTATAAATAAATCAGTAATGAATACCTTACTCACATTTATTTATACTGGAGATACCTATTTTTAAGAGAAGGAACTTCATATAAATACTATGATATCTGCATTTGAATTGTCAATTATATTTATTATACTCATTATAACAGAACTAGTGATCTTAGTTGGCAAAAATTTTTCTAATTAATTAGTTGTTTTTAATATAATCAACTAGTTGCAACTAAAAATTCTAAATTCTAATTGGCTAATTTTAAACTTTCTAACTAATGATTTACAACACTAGGCAGAACATTGTTATCTTTACTTGAATGCTATCTTAAAGACTACTGACAATTATAATTCAATTTCCATAAACAGATTATTATATAGTACATTGCATTTTATTCATTAATTGCAACAACTTAAGAAGTATATATGAAAGAATCCTGAATATTTGAGATAAAGTAAAATTGAATACTTTTTTGAATAAGTTGAGTTTCAAAATTGTGGAGCGGCTTATACCCATAGTGTATATTGGATTTTCAAAGGAATTGAGCAAATGATTAATAAGAACTTAATAAGATCCAATATATCAGATTTCATTACTGAATTAAAATTATATATTAAATCAAATATATAAATGTAGTTTTAGTAAGTGCAGAGGCCTTGCTGCTTTAGGACATACTTGCAAAAATAATTTTTCATATCTATTTTTATTAACTTTTATTATGATCATGAATTTTAACGATATATATACAAATGCATTAAGCCTAAAGATTGATAAATAATTTTCTATTATATTAAGACTCTAATGTTATGGGATATCCATATAAATATACAGTATGTCAGTTCCAAAAGACTGACCTTTTACTTAATAAAATATTTGATTAAATCAGAACTGTCCTATATTTTCAATGTAATAGAGGGTAACAAGTACAGGGAACATGTAGTAGCATGAATATTGGAATCAATAAAACTGATGTTTTTAATACTGGGTAAGACTATTTGCAATTTCTAGTGTGTAGTCAAGTATCTTCTTATGGATTCACCTATAAGTAGACAGAATGCAATTCAACCTATCAGTTTGATTATTGAAGATGATAGTAATTCATATTGGCCAGAAGGTTGTATACATTCTGGTCAGTGGACTAGCCTACTGGTATAAACTGATTACTCAAGGCCTAAGGCCGGGGTGAAATTACACACCTCTGTATATGCTTTGCCCTGATGAAAAAATCATGTCAAGAAGTATATTAAATATCCAGATGATGATGAATTCACTAACCTGACATATTCAAAGTATTTCAAGAATTATGAGATAATTACAACACATTCAACCATAAAACTAAATATATTTATTAATCAACTAGGGAACTATATAGTTAAATGAACTGCATCCAGATTAGTTCATTTTAGATATTTAACTTTATACAATAGTTAGCTCTTTTTTTATCAAAAGCTCTTATTTGAGCTTTTATATAGAAGCAAAGAAAACTTATTGAATAATTTTGAAATATACTGAGATTATTGGTTAAGTCACTATTCTGACCTACATAATGTATTTTATGAACTTACACAAAATCACTTGCATGCTCAATAATTGAAACCTAATATTTAGTTTAGCAATATCTTAGATACTTTGCTTTATAATTTACAATCAATTATACCCACATCAGTCTCACAGCTTGTTGATATACAATTACATTTTCTTCATTAGAATCCTCCAATCCTTTCACAAATTAATGCATTAGATCTTTCAGAGGATCAGTTACATATCATCTCAACTATACATGTTGCTAAAATTTGTAGATTCTTGACACATTGATGCAATTATTTGATGCAATTAATTGAGACACTATTAAAACATATAAATAATTGAGTCATGACACAATTATTTTTGAGGATTTTGGGAATTGAGTCAACAGCAAATAATTTATACCACATATATAATCTCGACTATTTGTAATATTCTAGGTTCGATTCATAAAAAGAATAAATATCTATATTTCTTCATCACAGGACCTGCTGAGACTGGAAAATCATTTATCCTTAACTTAATTATCAAAGACTTTTCTAAAAGGAAGCACAAATACTTACTAATGGCCCCAACTGGTGTTGCGGCCCAAAATATTGGAGAAGAAACTATACATTCTAGCTTAATAATTCACGAAACCCTAGGAGGTTTTCAGTCTTTGGCATTCCATGATCAAATCATTAAAAGATATTAATACTTTAATCATTGATGAGGTTTCTATGGTGTCTGCAGAGTTACTTAGCTTTATTTCTGACATGTTTTCGGTTATCAAACAACAAACAGTCGCATTTGGCGGTTTAAATGTTATACTAGTCGGTGACCTAGCTCAATTTCCTCCCGTGTCTGGATCACCCGTTTACCGTTCATCTGAATGGAAATTATTTTACCCGCTCTTTCTAAAAAAACCACAAAGGCAGAATCATGATATGCAGTATTACGAAGTATTACAAGAGATTAGATTTGGTCAAATTTCTTCACGAACCTGGAATATCTTACATCAAAAGGCTATAAGTTATCACCGATCCCTTGATGCTATACTTAATGTAACGAATATCGTAGGTTATAAGCAAACTGCCGATCGATTAACCATAATATTTGTAACATTCTACCTGTTAATGAAGACAAATTTATTCTGGTCACTTCGGTTGACTATATAGACGGTTGTCTTCATGATCCATATGATTCGCGAAAATTATTCAAGCAAAAAACTAATCTCCTACAAGTGTTCGTTTGCAGCAAGGCGCCCGTGTAATGTACCTCAAGAATGATATAATGGAACAAAATGTATGCAATGGAACCATCGGAGTCATTACTGATATTAATATTTCTTGCTTTGAAGTAAGGATAGCATTTAGTGTGATAGGAGGTATAGTTGATGTTGGAATAAAAAGGCATTTCGATACATTTATTGTCAATGGAAAACCATCAAGCAGGTATCAGTTTCCCCTGCAGAATGCTTTCGCATTAACAGTACATAAGACACAAGGTTTGACTTTACCAGAAATTTCAGTATGTTTAAATCAACAAATTTTTGCCGCGGGTCAGGCATATGTTGCATTAAGTAAGTGTTCTGACTGGTCAAAGGTCAATATTTCTTCCATTCATCCCTCCGCATTTATCACTGACATGTCAATGGTTGAAGAATATAAACGTTTGGAACGAAAGGCCTCTACTCATTTACCTCTTTAGATAAATTTCATCATTAATTTAATAATTAATTAATATTAAATAAAATACTTATAACAATTAAATTCGTTTATAACTTTATTTTATTATATTATAAAATCCTTAAAGTCATCAGATTCATTTATAACTTTATTTTATACTATAATACAAAAAAACGTTGATTGTATTTTTGTCTCGCTATTTTATTTAAATATAATAACCGACTATTATAAGCAGCCATACCCTAATTCCTATTGGCTTTCGTGGTGATCACTGAAGGGACGGTAATAATTTGTAACCCATGATAGATAATTAGAACCATTTTCACCAATCTCTGATTTAATTACTGGATGCAGAAACAAGATTTAACCTCCCATAGAAAATATTGTTATGTACAATCAAACGCCAAGGCCTGCGAATATGTAGAGAATTAAGTCATTTAGGTTCGAGATCGCTCCTGCAAAAGAAGTTGGTTAACGTAACGACGATCTCTGCAATCTGTAAACCTCGAAAACTAGTGGTGATTGTCGAACATTTCCTCCTACTGTATAACTTTTTCGGGTTTCGTTTTTGCATGTCTTATCGCAAATGCATGTGCGAAAGAAAAATTTTTCTATGTGAAAAAAAATAACGACTATTGGTGGCTTAATATATAAATATTACTGTATAGACCTGATATTAATCCACCAACGTATGATAAATGGCACTCCTCTTATTAATTTAACCATTATAAATATTGGGGTTCTCGCTGGAGTTTACTGATTTTCAAAATCCGCCCTTTGTCAATGGAGTCCTTGAATCTCTCAATATTCCTTGCTATTGTCGTCCTCTTTTCTCAATGCATTACGATTAATGCATCACCAGTATTGACTTGGGGAGACACCAGACTTGATCGTGTAATTACTAATCCTTTCTTCGAGAAACTGTAAACTGAATAATATAACTAACACATTTTTTAATAGCGATTCGCTAGTTTTTGTGCACGCTTAGGGTGCCCAGACGTAAGACAACCTTTTCCTGTTTGTGCGCAATAATTGTTACAAATATTAACGTGTTATTACATGTTTTGCAGGGCTATGTCTGCACTTCCAGAAATGAATGTTCTCCGATTTGTTCTCCGGGCGGTGATTCTCCGTGTGTTACTTACTGTAATAACGAAACCTACTGCTTTGGGGTAATATGCCTTCTTAATATACAATCTTGTTAACTTCAACATCTCGGCCCTACTAATTTATTTCTTTGTGGCGCGTTCAGGATCACCTCACTTGTTCAAATGGTCAGTGCATTAAGTAAATGCGATTTGTAGAGATAGCGTTCAGTTAAAGCTGCATTCGCGAGTCTCTCGATAGCATGAAAATCAAATAATAATTGCTTTATTATATATATATTATTTTTATTATGTAATAAGTGTACAAAAAATGTATAAAAGAAAGAAGAAATTGAATAAAGAAAGTCAAGTTTTTTTGGCCAACATCACCCCTAATAAAATACTATTTTTAGTGTAAATCTTAGCTTTCATTACTCTTATTACATAATTATATTAATCAATCCTATAGTGCCATGACTGATCCTTGCATGACCTGGTTACATGGCAATCATTGCAATTGTAATGTGATTCGACTTTTTTCTAATATTTTCTCTTTTGGGGGGGTCACACTAGATTTTATCATGCTTATTATTGCTGTTTTCTTTTCAATATAATGGAAACCCAGAATTTCAGTGTAAGGCTTATTACTTTTCCTGTATTACAGTAGTATAACATACAGTCTGTTACAAAAGTCTTTGGACTTTTTTTAAAATTTTATTTGATTTATAATTTTGTAAATAATTAATTAAACAAAACAATATTAATATATTTCTTAATTATAGATTTAAAAATTATGATTATGTAAAAAAAATTTTTATTATATAATAAGATTATTATTAAATTTTAATTTTAAAACAAAAAGCTAATTAAAAATGATTAATTGTTTAATATTGACTTTAAAAAAACAATTATAAATTATTAAATTTATTAGATAGTAACTAATAAAATTATATATTTTTTTTCATAATTTTTTATTTAAATATTTTATAGATAAATTATTGATTTTTAAAATTTTTTTAAAAATTCATTTTTTGTTAAAAATTAATATATAAAGATTTAAATCATAAAAAAATATTTTATAAGTAATAATAAATAGATATATAGATAAATATATATAATTAATTAATAAGTTTATTTAAAAAATCTATTTAAAATTTATAAAAAATTTTATAAAAATATTAATTATTTTAAAAATAAATTAAAAATAATTATTATATTAAATGAATTTTATTAAAAAAATTATTAATTAAAAGTAATTAAAAGAATAGCTTAATTCATATTAAAAAATTATAAAATGTTTTTATAATTTTTAAAAAATCTTCCATTAAATCTCATATATATATTACCAAACCTCACTTATACTTAAATAACCTCTGTCTATATTGTAACATCCCAGAAGAAACTATTAACTATACCTGGACTTGTTCTATTAACAACAACATTCTAAAAACAATTATTTCATCAATATATCAAATTATCAAAGAAACAATTAACAACTTTTCCAAACAAAGTCTACAGCACTTCAACAATCTTCAAAATACAATATCAATAGCCACCAGCCTCGTCCTACTATCTACAATAACATCTAACCAAAAACTTATCTCAACTTTTAAACATATACAAATCTCCAATAAACTTCCCAAACTACTATACAACAATATATGAAAATCCAGAAATGATGACATGATCTCTCAGGAAAAAATTCTTGAAATTATCTCACAATAAAAAAAATCAACTAAATCGACTATACCTACATCAAAAAAATTATTTATCAATACAATAACAGCAACAAACCAAACTAACAATAATCTTAAATCTTATCCTAATATACTCTTTCTAAATATTTTCTCTAACTATATTTAACTAACCGAAAATTTATTTTTATCAAATCTGAATAAAAAATTAAATTATTAGGGAAGTACTGATCCCTTAATTCAGTAAATAGTTATTTCTAAAATTTTGTCAAATTATAGTTTTTATAAAAGATATTTATTTATAGGCAGGTCAATGTTTATAGCAACATATCTCAATATATTACTATTGTTGTAAATTTTATATTAAGTTTTCTTTTGTAAAAATTGAATCAACAATTAATAAAGATTACAATTTGATAAGTAACTCGCAAAAAAAAAAATATATTGCTTTATAAAAATATAAAAACTATAAATTATTTAAATAAAAAATTCTCTTATTAATAAAAAATTATAAAAAATTTATATATAATTTTATTAGTTATTATTTAATAAATTTCTTTAGCAAAATATAAAAATAAAATAATTTTATTTTTTTATAGTTAAAAAAAACAATTATTACAATTCTTATTTTTAAATATTGTTTTAATATTATTATTATAATAGAATAAAAAAATTTTTTTAAAAAATTTTAATCTTTAAATCTTTAAATAATATATATAATTATATTATATTATATTATCAATTAATTATTGAATTATAAGCCAAAATAAAAGTCCAAAAACTTTTGTAATAGACTATATGTAATGCAATATATACAATATATATTAAATATAATATTAATTAAAAGTAAAGTAGGATAAGCTCATGCTACAGATTAAAAAAAAATATTAAAATTACAAATTACAAATAAGTTAAAATAAACAAAAAAAAAAAGAAATATCAATTTCTAATTTTGATTATATTTTATATTTATTATCTTATTTATAATTTTTAATTATAACAATGTCAAAAAAAATTTTTTTTTTTATAAACATCAGTTCTTTATTATATATATATACTA